CTCCTTGCTGATTGGCCCGGGAAGCCGCCTCCTTGCTGATTGGCCCGGGAAGCCGCCTCCTTGCTGATTGGCCCGGGAAGCCGGCCTCCCGGCCAATCAGGATCAAGCCAGTCATACCCCCTTGCTGATTGGCCGGGAAGCCGGCTTTCCAGCCAATCAGCATCAAGCCAGCTTCCTGGTCAATCACAATCGAGCCGGCCAAACAAGCCAGATTCCCGAAGCCATCAGGAAGCCGGGCGGCGGTAATGACATGCTGCCCGGCTTCCTGATTGACTGGGAAGCTGCTTCATGCCAGCGGAAGCACCGTTATCGGTACTCTGTATCAGCGAGTACCGAAAGCAGAATATCGGTACTCGTACTGAAAAACCGGTATCGGTGCATCCCTATAGATAAGGTTAGGATAACTGTATCACTGATGAGAAGGCTGAATGTTGCCAATTGTCAACTTTTTAATTAAATGTGACATTGAACTGTTCATGAGTTACAAAATGTTTTTATGCTGAAACCCAAATTGTGCAACATGCTGATAAATGAATACTGTCATTATGAATGACAAACTTAGCTTAGCAAAGTTGTATCTAACCTGGCCACATAGCATATCATTAATGTAGTTTTCAGAGAATCAAGAACACTGTCCTTATAAAAACCAAGCACTTCCCATTTATGGTGTCCTTTGTGTCTCCAACAATCTGATACAAGGACCTTTGCGTAACCACAACTCCTCAGCATGTGACATAATAAAGCAGATCTGAGCTAAATAGAAAGTTTAAAAAATTCAGTTTCCAGTAGTACATAAGATGCTTTCCCTAATTTCCTCTGTGTATGCAGTGCTGTCAGTCAACTTAACGTAGTATAAGGGGTGGGCACTGGCAAGACAAGGTGTTGGGTGTCTGCTCCTTAGCTCTATTTTGCTCTTTTTATTATTCAAGCGAGGTAGTAATATAATATAATCAGTACTATTCAGTGATTTCAAAAGAGATCTTTGTTTTAAGACATTACATACGTTCTTTAATTCTGGATGGAGAAATGTGTCCTAACAAGATCATTCAAACTATCCTTCTCTCTTTCAGATACCTTTCATCAGCACCAGTGAGCAAACAGCTCACCATGCTTTAGAGGACCACCTAACCACCTATTCATCTTGCCAAGCAAGTCTGACAGTCGTCAGTCAGTGAATATTTGGTAGACTTTGGAGACATCTCCTCTTTTGCATGTGTTTTGATTACCATGAATCTGCAGCCTCAACAGAAGGCTTCAAATAAGAGGACAGGAAAAAGGATTACTTTTTTTGGGGAGCAGCCTGGCCATCAAGTGCCCAGCAAGGAGCAGCAGTTGAAGGAACAGCAGTTTTATGGTTCCGTAGCCCGGCTCCCAGTGTCTCAAGCTTCCGAATTTTCAAAGTTGGATTCTTATTCCACAGCTTCCAACAATATGCTGAACACTGTTATGTATGCTCAGGAGATGCCTGAGGCCATGAGGCTCAACCAGCAGCAGGTAGTTGGAAAGTGGAATGTGACAGAAAGGGGTGACGCCACATGGCAAGCTCAACAAGCTGGAATGTGGCAGAGAAATGCAGCCAGCTATCCTGTTTCCATGGTACATTCTTATTACAACCATCATGAACAAGTCAAAAGGAGCCAAGATAAAGGGGTTGGAGTGTCCCAGGTGGACATGTATGGAGATGCTATACAACAGATGATGTCTCAGAAGACACAACTTGAACAGCATACATTGGCCCGTCAGCAGGCCCATTTGAACTCTATTTTGCAGGTTCAGCAGCAACAACAGCAGCAGCAGCATCAACAACAGCAGCAGCAGCATCAACATCAACAACAGCAGCATCAACAACAGCAGCATCAACAACAGCAGCAGCAGCAGCAGCAACAGCAACTTTCCTTGCAGCCGTTTCAAATGGCTTTTGGACATCAGGGTCAGAAACCATCATTGCAGGAAATTTTCCATGTTTTTCCTGAGGCACAGTCTAATGTGGCTTATGCCACTCAGCAGAAGCAGCAGCCCTCTCTTCCTAAAATGCAGCTGTTCGAAAACTTCTACCCGGCTCAGCAACAACAGCAGCAGTCGGCCTATGGTATACAGCCAGCGATCACCGTGGGTCAGCCTCACCAAGTTGCCCAGCAGAAGATGCCAGCAATTAGCCAGCAACAACGCGTCCCTACGTCAGAGGAATACATGAAGGCTTTTTCAGAGCAGAGCCAACAGACTGTTATGCCTAAAACTCAGATCCCCTTGCCACGTCGATCACGTAGGCTTTCTAAAGAGGGCGTGCCAGCTTTGCCTACCACAGTAGTTGGACAACCAAACGACCCTTACGCTCAGCACCATTATGATCAGGCAGTGCAAAAACAATTAGAAGAACGGTATAAGCATAGTTACCAGCCTCTTCCGAGAGATGCACAGGTACCAAGCCAAGAAAGCCATTATGGCAATCACCATGAGCCGAACAAGGCTGCACTACCTCAGAATGGTAGCACAAGGGATAGTCAAACAACTGCCGAGCAGAATTCTGTGGTGCCTAGTCAGCCGGAGGGAGCTGGAGCAGTAACCGTGATCCAGACAACAAGGCGAAGGCGGCGCATATCACAGGAAGCTAATTTGTTTACATTAGCGCACAAAGCGGCAGAGATGGCAAACATGGAGAACACTAAGGTAAGAAGACTTTGCATATTAAGACAATGGAGGGAATTTATCAAAACTGGAGCAGACAAAACCTGGAGCAGCTGTGCATGGCAACCAATCAGCTTCTCTGTCTCATTTTCAAATTTTACCTGAGCAAACTGAAGAAAGATGCTGATTGGTTGCCGTGGGCAGCTGTTCCATATTCTCCCTGCTCCAGTTTTGATAAATTCCCCTCAATGTCTACATGAACCTTTACTCTTGCATGCTCATAGTCGTAACTAGGGATGCACAGATACCGAGGAATTGGGCGTGTACTCGCCCACATGCTCCGATACCTACCCCCAATAGCAGAACTTCCGGTCACAGGAAGATTTCCTCTGACCAGCAGTGCCGTAGGGGAACATTGAGAATTGACCCGCCTCCTGGCTTCCTGATTGGCCGGGAAGCCAGCACCATGTTGCTTGGCTGGGAAGGCGGCTTCCTGGCCAGTCACCATTGAGACGGCCGAACAGCGGGCTCAATGCTAATTGGCTGGGAACCTGGCTTTCCAGCCAATCAGGGAGGTGGGTCATTACTCGCCGCCTGGCTTCGTGATTGGCCGGGAAGCCGGCTTGATGCTGATTGGCTGGGAAGCCCGTTTCTGGGCCAATCACAATCGAGCCGGCCAAACAACATGGAGCCAATCGGGAAGCCGGGCGGCAGGTCATCTGCCGCCCGGCTTCCTGATTGCCCCGAAAGCCGGCTCCATGCCAGCAAAATATCAGTACCTGATACCCAAAAAACAGTATCGGTGCATCCCTAGTCGTAACCTGTCATTTTGGTCAGAGAATCCTGCCTTGTAACGCAATGACTGTCCTAAGATAGGAGCCCTGAGAGGGTAGCAATGGGTTACTACTTCCTGTATCTATCTCTCACCTGTCACATTGTCCAGTGCAGTGGGTAAGCAAAGACTCTAATGAAACTTGGTTTCTTTTGTCATCTTTGTGTGTCCTATGTAGGCAATATCTAGGTGGCAGCAGGAAAAAGTCATTCACTACCCGTTTCTGCTCTCTGCATTCTGAATCAGAACATTGATGTAGATTTTGGAGAGTATCTTAGCTAGTAGGCCAAAACATACCTCTGCTGCAGAGTGGTTGTTATACTGTAAATCTATGCTAGTCAAGCATGTAGAAAATTAGTGATTGTCATTTTCCTTAGATACACATTCTGTTCTTAAGTTTAGTTCTACGAGAACTTTATTCTTATAACATTTTTAAAGGGGGTTTGCCCTCCATTTGGTGGCCTGAACCGTGGGTGTGCCACTTGTCGGACCAATCAATCGGCTGTTTTGTGGTTGTGAAACGGCAGCTTCTTGGCTGCTGGAGGATCCAGCGAAGCTTGGGCTTTTTTTGGCTCAGTTTAGAGTTGACCTCAGGAACCCATTAAAAGCATCCAGGTCCCGCTGTTCAGCTTCAGTAAACCAGCAGATGAATTTTCCAAGTTCCTGCTGCAACTCAGCTCCCATCAAGCAAAAGACTGCTGTATGACCTGTTCATTTATGTGCATTCATTTTATGTTCATGTTTTCTATTATGTGTACTCTCTCATGTTTATGATCTGCAGAATAACAGTTAGTGATGGATGGTATTATACTGTGGTGTCCTGAATTCGGCTAGATGTTTCTTAGCATTTTTTCTCAGTGATTTGCAAGGAGGCCAACATCTGTTTTTAATAAGCGAAACTTTGCAGAAAGCTGCTTGTCATCAATTTCCCTTGTCTGACATACAACATAATTTTCAGGACTTTGTTTTACTGTATTTGGAGAAAAACTTTTAAACACCCCCCCGCTAAATATAGTTACTTTTATAACTGTTCCATTTTCCCCAATATATTGTTTTTTGGTGGAAATATAAAAAATCACACGTATAAATGGATTCAGAGATGGTGCAAAGACAAAACATATAGTGTGCCCATTATGTATACTCATTGGGCGCACCTGAACCTGGAATCATGTTCATTTTCCAGGAGCTAGTGACGTCCATGTATTGGGGCATTAGGGCACTTTTTGTTTTACCGTCTACACTTAAGATATCAGTGTTTGGTATAAACCTCAGAATGGCATTACTTTGTGAGTATTTTCTGAGTGTTGGGTCTAGTTTAATGTTAAGGTGCCCATACACCTTACGACCATCGCAAGACTTTTGTCTTGCGATGGTCGTATGCTACTTGAAAGCCCGTACGATCTGCCCACCTTGGACGGGCAGATCGTACTTGCGATCATCGAAAGCCCACCCCGCTGAGGGGCGGGCTTCCGATGACGGCAATGCAGAACGGGCAGTGTGCACGTGCGCACACCGGCCCATTCCGCAGCTATCGGGCGAGCAGGCTAGAAACCCGCCGAAAATCGTACGATTCTCGGCAGGTTTTCGAACATGTTGGCTTGACAAAAGACGTGCAACCGTACAGTAGAAACGGTCGCACGTCTTAGTTCACACTGCTCGATTCTCGTACGATCGTGGGATTTCGCCCGATTCTCGTACGAGAATCGAGCAGTGTATGGGCACCTTTAGAGTGATGGTACAGGGGCCATTTGACTTGTAATGGTTTTCTTAAAGGGTCCATTTACCCAAAACTGATATTGCAGGTTCTGGTGGATGGTGGAGTTAAATTACCTGACTGTTTCTTATATCTCTTGAGGGCTTTATTGGTGAGATATCTGCACCCATTATGTGTTCCTAAGTCTGCACATCTGCTGTGGCTTATATAAGAGGTTTCCTTGTCTCCTTTTATTTGTTTTTTATTCATTATGGAGATTGTAACAGGAGGAGCTGTAAAACACATCCAAACTCCTGGATGGGCAGGATAAGGGTCGACATTATGACATGTAGATCTCGGTTGAAGTAGCCAGGAGCTGGCTTAGCCCGCCGGGTCCGCCTATAACTAAAGTTAGGGATGCACCGATACTAGTATCGGTATCCGTGCCGATACCGAATATTTGGGAGATCACTCTTACTCGCCCAAATGCTCTGGCACCGGAACTTTCCTCTGACTGGCAGTGCCATGAGGAAACATGGAGCCGGCTTCCCGGCCAATCAGGAAGCTGGGCCGTGGGTAATGGCTCCATGCTGTTTGGCCAGCTCGATGCTGATTGGCCGGGAAGCTGGCTTCCCAGCCATTCAGCGTGGAACCAGCTTCCAGGGCAATCAAGAAGTCAAGCAGCGGTTAATGACCCGCCACCCGGCTTCCTGATAGGAGCCAGCTTCCTGGGCATGCTAGTGGAAGTACAGGTAACGGTACTCGGTATCGGAGAGCACCGAAATATAAATATCAAGAGTCATTACCCGCCGCCCGGCTTCTTGTTTGCTCGGGAAGCTGGCTCCATGCTGTTTGGCCTGCGCAATGCCGATTACCGACCGCCTGGCTTCCTGATTGGCCAGGAAGATGGCTCCATGCTAGCAGAAGTACTGGTATCGAGCACCAAAATCTAAATATTGGTACTCGATACCGAAAAAACGGTATCGGTGCATCCCTAACCAAAATATCACATTTGGGTGACATGACCCTTAAATCTGAAAGCACTGTGCGTCTGTCTTATCTACAATCGGGCCGGAACGCACAGTGCCTGGTGTGAATGGGCCCTAAAAGTAAAGTTGGTTATGAATACATTTTATGTGTTTTGAGGTACAGGAATTTGGGTGAAAAGGCTGCATTTTTGTTTGAGCTTTTAGGGGCCATGGTCACCCTCAGCTAGTTCCCTGGTCCTAAATAGCTCGGCATGTCACGTCCATGTAATCTGGCAGAGCTGAGGCTTTGCTGTTACATTGCTGTCATTACACTGCTTGCTGTCTTAGAATGTGAGAGTGAGACTAAATCTCCAGAAGGCTATAAATAGTGCAGCAATGAAACTCAGGGGTAATAAGGAACACGTGAAGGAGATGAGTTCTCACATGTTTCTGGCTTAAGCCCAGAGAGAAATAATAACAAAGTATCTGAGAAAGTCATTTCTCTCTCTTACACAACTATGTACAGTCACTCTTTAATCTGAAACTGTTTTGGTTATTCAGAATAAATATTTAATTGTACTATTCATTAACAATTAGGAGCTTGCTGGATTGTTTAATGTTTTCAAGCTGGAATTTAGAAAGACGTGATATTAAAGTGACACTAAACTCCGGAGTTAAATCTTAAAAATGAATTCAAGTACCCTAACTAATAACAAAAATGTATCTTATTTGTGTATCACTCTGCTGTAGATCCTCAAATCATCTCTGAATTGGTGCTGACATTGTCCTTCCTTCTGGATACTGGATACTTTTTGATCTCCATGTTCCCTGTCCCTCCTTCTGTGTGTTGTAAAGTAGCCACCGCTCCAAGCTCGCTCCCGTGATGGACTACAGTCTCATATTTAGTTTAGTAATTTGTATTGAGATTGTAGTCCATCACGGAAGTGAGCTTGGAGCGGAGACTACACACACACACTGGGAACCAAAGTAGCCACCCTCCAGAAGGAAGGACAGTGTCAGCACCAATTCAGAGATGATTTGAGGATCTACAGCCGAGTGATACACAAATAAGATACTTTTTTGTTAATAGTTAAGGTACTTGAATGCATTTTTAAGATTTCACTTCTGAGGCTAGGTTCACAACTAGGCGACACCTCACCGCGTGGCAATCGTGCACGATTCCGCACGGATTGCAGCACGGTCAGGAGTCGCCAAGGTGTGAACCGATCACGCTGTGGGTGCCATTATTTTCTAAAACAGCCACACGTTGTGTATTGCAAAAAGAAGATACGTGTACCTTTTTTTTCTGTGATTGCCACGCAGATGTCACCCCATTGAAATCAGTGGGGCCGCGCGCCAATTGCTGCCTGCATTGTGCAGGACTGCACAATCCCGGGACGCCCGTCCCGGGTGTAGTGCAGGCGTGAACCTAGCTTGAGTGTCACTTTAAGTGAATAAGTTACTCACGAAGGGAACATATCAGTTTAAAGGCCATTTTTGGGTTAAAAAAAAGCACCAAAACTCCCCTTGCAGCCTGGCTACCCCCCAC